ATAAGTTTCGATCGCAAGTTATAAGTTGCGATCGCAAGTTACGTCATCGCAAACTAGTAACTTGCGACGAGAAAATACATGTGTCCCTTATGAGCCACCGTACGATCTTCTGGTGGACGAAACAAAGCGCCGAGTTAGGGGTCAGTAATATTCTTTGTTCTTTTTTAAAAGTGCTTTTTCAATGGGATATATTTGTGCAGTTAAGAACTGTGATCACAACAGTATCAGGGACAAAGGAATGTATCGAATATTTAGATTTCCAGGCATTAGGTTAGAATTATGTTTTGGTCAATTATGACTATATTTTATGAAAAATTACGGCCGCGGAATCTCCGCCATATTCCACGGCAGCATGCGTTCGCGCCGTTTGTTCTAAACATGTCAAATTACATTCCTTGCTGTAGGGGAAACAGCTTATTTTAAGTCTACTACAGACCCAGATTGGACACCATCGTTAAAACTGGGACCTAACAATGTAACTGAAAAGGCCATTGTAAAAGCAATCGTACGTAATGATCGGGCGGAACATCGAGAGACAAAGAAAGGAAAATCCAAGAAGAAGCAGAGGCTTTGGCTGCTAGAAAAGAAGCGGGAAGACTTGAAGCTGAAAGACTAGATGCTGAAAGACTTGAGGCTAAAAAGGTTCAATCAGAACAAAACAGTGCCTCTGAAGTATCTGGTAAGTTAGGATTTTCAATTCAGCTGAATTTACAATATCTTTCCTCTTATTTATTTACTATTAAGTTATATTCTTAATTCGATATTTCTGATTTTTTTGGTCTCTGAATTATTTTTGAGTGTTTGAATTATAGAGTGCTTACACTATGTTCATGAAATAAATCAAAATTACCAACAGTTCATATTATTATTTAACTGAAACAAAAGGCAAATTAAGTAAAATTATAACTTACTTTCTACTTGAGTATTTCCTGTTAAAACTCCTCATCGACATGGTATGCGCACTCAATAGCAAGAAATAAATAATACATTATAATAAATTCACTTTTTATTGCTTACTAGTGAACACGTCAGAACCTCATTTTGTGGACCAACAGTGCCAGACAGATATAACTGGTGAATTATTGAACATGCAGAATAAGTCACGGTATATGCAGGATTACAACTACAACTTAGTGAAATGAAGAATCAACAACTGTCTTCATTTCAATTTAAGACAAGTGCAATGAGCAGCGCAAACATTGCCGTCTTTTTCCGTAAGGAGCCAAGTCTTCAACGGGGTTTCACGTGAACGTTGAGAGTGGTTGACTCGAGCAGTTACCACAACTTTGCTAGTTACTTCCACATCCGGCTTGTTCAGTATAATATTTACCCATCCCGATATGAAAAAAACTATAAGCATCCATTGACTTCCAAGCCTTCATTTCTTTCCCGGTTTTCCACGAGGTTTGGATGACAAGGTAGTTTACAATATCGGGATATGTAATACTTGAGTAATCGGCAACATAAACGACTTTCGCCAGGCATGCAGTATAGTTCGCGCTGTTTCCTTCATGCTAAATACTTTGGAAAACCGCCAAAGTTAACTCGAAACGCTGGCATGTTGCAGATGAAATCGAAATTTTTATCATCTCGTCATGAGCTCTAGTGTCATTGGTTTAAGAGCAGTGTGCGCAAAATATTGTTCTCGAATGATCTCCTGTAAGCGGTATTTTTACCCAATAATGGAGTACCCTGAAAATTGTGAAAACTACTCTTTCACGATTGCTATCGAGTGAATCTATCAAGTCTTTCCTATCACTTTTCATCAGATAACACTCACATTTCCTGCCCCTGAGTGGTACCGAGAATCTCCTATGGCTCATGGCGACGATGTAAACAAGTTCGAATCTAGATTGAAGACCTTTCTTTTTAAGCAAGTTTATAAACTATCCTAGGTTCTCCATTTTGTAATTTTGTTATTATGTCTATATAT